AAAAGTTGAAAAACGATGGAAAATTTCTTTTGCATAAGAGAGATGACAGCCTCATTTCCCAGACAGGCCCGTCTCAGGTCTCACTGGCACCATAATGATGTTTCCTCAACCATTTATCTAATTCGAGGTAAAGTGCAGTCACCTGTTATCGGCCAGCCCTTCATCAGCTGTCCAGCTTCCCTGCTCCCTGTCACCAGGCAGGTGCCACCCATGCTCTCCAGTTCTCTCTCTGCAGCTCCGGCCTTTCTACTCAGCTCATGGGAACCTTAATTCTGTTTCAAGACATGAAGCATTGCCAGGTTCTAGGATTACAAATAAAGCCAACTAAGATTTTTTAACTAAATGTGTTGTAATTTTGCCTTTTGACAAGGACATTCGCATACAATTACATTCTTTATCAAATGTTCGATTAATTTCTAAGGCATGAGTAACCGACTGACTGCATGGGTGGACCCTGGAAATGTCACAGCTTCCAAGCCCAAAGCTGGGCCAGATATTTCTCCTTATGTTACAGTCATGCCACTCAGCGGCTGTGAAGGCTGTTTTAAGATGTGAGCTGGGAATTAGGCTAAGTTATTACTCAAACCCATTTCCTGAAGAAAACCACAGTTGACAGAGGAGGGGGGCACAGGTCTGGGTATTCTGAGACAATTAGGAAGTGTAAACATTGAGAAATGAACAGGCTTCAAATCCATAGTAATGAAATGGATCTATCCTTGTGGACTGAGACCTCTGTGAAACAAAGATGCAGAAGTACCCCAATTAATCAATAAGGACCATGGGGACATTTATTCTCTGAACACAGTACTAATATTTGTGGGAAATCTTATTTAACAGTAAAAAACCAGGGTCATTTCACTTAAATGCTAGTTTCTAATCCCCTAACCCGATTTATCTATAAATTGGAGAGAAGCAATGAACGGACTCCCGTGGCACAGCCATCTCTCACGTGCTTTCGTCAGGAGGCTAAGAATGAACAAAACCAGAAATTCTACAGCAGAGTTTTCTTGCCTCTGGCAAGTAGAACATGGTGAATGTCCCGGAGCATCTCTCGCACCTGGGTGCAGAGCGCTCGTAGCCCCGCCCTGCCTGCTCTCAGGGAGCATTGGTCCCGGGGCGAGCCGGCCCTATGTCATGAGGACACTCACGCAGCTTGGGGACAGGCCCATGAGCTGGGGACTGCCAGTGGCCATTGAAGAGCTTGAGGTGTCCGACCACCGGCTCTGCAAGTGTGCTGACCACTGTGGGCCCTTCCCAGGCCTCCTGCTGTCCACCCCAATCTCTAAAACACCTCCCTGAATGTGGTAGTGTGTCCATCACTCTGTCCTTGTTCATTATGCAGGTGTCTGTGTGGTGGGAGTGGCAGGCTGCTCAGTGGGCCATAGGTGGGGTGAGGACAGAACACGCAGATCTGTGCTATCTCGGGCTCACTTGCAAGGTGGGGTGTCCTTGCTCTCTGCGAAGAGTGTGGTGACCTCCCTACTCCCCCTCAGGTGCCGTGTCACATCTGTACCTCTCGCACCAGCCGCTGAGGCCTCCATCCTCCTTATAACGGCCACCAGTTGCCTCTGCAGCACTGTCCTGCCCACTCAGGTGTCCAGCAGGCTCCTTTCCCCCTTCCTCATTCTTTCCCTGGCAGCATCTCCACCTGAAAGTGGTTATCGTGGGCTTCTCTGCAGGTGAGACCCTGCTACCAGGGGAACAGGTCTGCTCAGCGTCTCAATGACACCTGAGGCCAGGAAGCTGAGGGTCTCCAAGCGAGTGGGGTGTTCCCATTAAACATGTCTGCAGGTGCAAGCTGAGCCCAGAGTGTGAACCTGTGTCGCCTGTGAAACACCAGTCTGTCCCATGTGCTTGGAGTTCACCTGCAATGCTCGGCCACATGAGATGAAGCCACCTGCACCAGCTTCATGTGAAACCATCACTCACCTGTGGCCCCCGGGTCACACATGGGTTCCAGAGTCTGTCTACATTTGTAACTGTGCCCACCGTGGTGACCACTCCAGCCTCAGACTATTGTCCATAGTGCCCAGGTGTCCACAGGTCAAAGGGCACATTTATACCGTCCAGCTGCTGTCTTCAACTTCCCCATTACGTCAAAATGAGGACCTGTTTTGCTCGGTTCCCTCCGAAGACAGGAAAGGAGCACGTGTCTGGCACCTCAGGGAGCCTGGGCTGGAGAAGCTGAGTTTACCAGTGACAGTGCCCGCAGGCAGCCTCGCCAGCCATCCAAAAACAGAACGCTTAAAGGTCTCCACATAATCTATTTCTGATGTCGGGGAGCTTTGGGAAGCAGGTCAGTGACGGGAGGGACGTTTCTCAGGCCCTACCCATAGATGGCTACCGGCAAAGACTGCTAATAAGCTGGCTCCAGACTTACTAAGTCTGAAATAGGATTATTTCAGTGAAATACATGGTTATTAGGCCATGAAGTAATTGTACCATCCCAGGTTCTTGAGAAGGAGCGGGAATTACTCACCCCTACCACGGGTCAGCGCAGCACCATGGGAGCCGTTTCCCTGGGCCACACGCTGGGCCTGCTGAGACGCTGCGTTACTTCCCACCACTGCCAGCCCTGCTCTGTCTCTGGGGATCCCTCTGTGCTGCCCCAGAGGAACCTCGCACTGGCCAAAGGCTCCTACAGACGGGAGTCCAACCTGACGGGTCTCTGTAGTTCACAGGGAGCAGAGAGAACCGTGGGCCTCACTCCCATTAGCAAATAGAGGTGGGAAACCACTAGTTATTGGGGAATTGGGGCAAATAGCCTGTTTCTACTCACGTAAGCCAGGTGATGACACACGGTGCCGACTTCCTTTGCCTCAGTCAGTCAAGCCATTGCCACCCTCCCTCCTTTTCTTTCCCTGGGTGTTCTGAGGGGAGGAATTCATGCTGATGTGTTTAAAAGGACCAATGGCTGCCTGCAGGTCTCCCTCTGCAGCGCTGGCAGATTCCAGACAATTCCTTACATGACCTAACTCGAGTCCCGGCCATTCCTGGAGATTCCTAGATCAAAGGAGGGTGCTTGCTATGCACCGTGCTTTTGAAGATTTGTTAGTTATTAACTACTGTTCACTTTAAGAAAGAATCAGTAATCGTCTCTATTTCAGGTTCCTCTGAGAAGCTGGTATAACTGTCACTTGATTTACCCCCAGCTCCTTGGCCACCCTGCTGGATTTAAGTTTTGCTTCCCGATCTGACTGTGACCAGATGTCCAGCGGCTAACTGTACATGCAGGGCAGGGGGTGAGGGCCGGACACCAGCTGTGCTTTGCAGGTCACCCTCCAAGCAGGAGGCAGCCCCAGCTGAGAAGGGAGGAGACTGCAGCTTTGCCCTTGCCTCCAAAGGCCTGTCTGTAACTCATCGCTCCCACACCTCTCCCTCAGCCTTTCTCTCTGCTCTCTCACAAGGTCCTGTAAGGAGGCATCTCCATTTATAGGGAAAGACGCTGAGATACAGAGAAAACATGGCCTTGGATGTACTGGTCTTCACGACACTGGACCCAAGGCTGCCCTGGAGCTATGTGGCTTTGGTGTGCAACATGGACGGGTCTGTGTCCACCAAACCCACTTGCATTCTATCTGGGGTGCTAGAGGCTGATGGTTGACACCATTCCCAGTCTCTCCTGCCTGGCACATGATAGCTCCAGAACCTTCCGAGGGAGCGAGGGCCTCCTTGTCCCACCCCATTCATCAGTGAAGTAGGGAGGTCTTGAGAGTCTGGGAGAAAAGGGCTGGAAGTATGGAGACAGAGAAGGTCCAGGAATGACCCCATGGAATGTTGCTTACCTACCAGGAGCACTGGCTCTGACTTTTTCTAAGGCAAAGTTAACTTCTGCTGGATTAAGCCACTGAGGACTGTGGCTGCTAGAGTTACTCAAACACACACAGCCTGGCTGCTCAACCCTTTGGAATTCTAAAAGGCAGGAATAGTAAGACCTGCCTTGCTGAATCCAAGCCAAGGTTAAATATGTGAACTATTTGGGCACTGCTTAACCAACTCTGGCCCTTGGGAGGTGCTTGGTAAATGTTTCTCTGTTTGAACAGGGCCCTTCTGTCAGTGCGGAAAGAGCCCTGACTTGATCGACTCATCCACCTTCTGCCCTTGGGGTTCTTTTCTGGCCGCGTTGCCCCAGTTCTGCCTGGAGTAGGGAACCGGAGTTGGAGCACCCGGTGACTGGAGAGCACCAATCCAGCTGGGCCCGCCTGTCAAGGCTGCACCTGTCATTAGAATGGAGCCTCCTCTGGCTGGAGAGCTCATGCCCTCACGGCAGGTGAGCCAGACAGAGCTCGTGCGCTCACGGCAGGTTGTCCTACATCTCTGCCAATCGCAATTCTGCCAGACACCTGCTCAGTGCCAGGGCCTTGAAGGGATCCAGGACTTGGGCCAGGGTTGGAGGTACCTGCTGTCCTGAGGAAGCCCAGGCACACTCAGTCTCTGAGATGCGCCAAATACCCTTGTGGCTCCCAGAGCAGGGCCCCACTGAGGAAACTGATTGGGGAAGGGGGAAATGGGAAGGCCTGTGCCACAGGTGAGGGGCAGCTGCCCCCAGAGAAGAAACTGAGGGTTTGCATTGCACCCTGTGAGGGTCAGGCCCAGCTCCATGTGGTGACCTCAGAAGTGTGTGTGTGGACACAAGGACATGGCGCTCCCACACGACCCTCTTACCAATCACTCCTCCATCCCAGCACTTGCTGAGTACCTCACATCCCCTCCCTGGATACCTCACATCCCCTCCCTGGAGGTGCACTGCACACACTTTTGGGGCAAAGACCTTCAGGAGCCCGCTATCTCGTCAGGGCTGCACAGCTCTGAATCAAATGGTCTGGTTTGGATTCATGGTGAGACACCGCCGAGGGCCTGACAGTGCAGGGAGTGCTGTTCTCTGGGGCTCCCTATGGTCTGAAGCCACCTGGACCCTGTCCATACAAGTGCTCTTTGCATCTACCATGCAGGGGTGGAGATTCAGGGGAGAGTTCTCAGCCAAGGTGGAAAGTCCACCTCTTCTCCCCAGACAATGTGAATTTCAAAACAACATTTTTGTGCTGGGACACAGAAACAAACTATCAATGTGAATGTTAATCCATAGAATATTTGCAAATGTGACCCTTTTTTACTGGTGGCTTATATAAGTTGGGACAGGCAACCAGAGCCCAGTGTAACGAGAGAGAGGAATGAGTAAAGACCACCACAAAGCAAGGTGAGCAAGCCTGGGAGCTGCGGGGCACGGTGAGCACTGCTGGCCCCTGGGGCTGGGGTGGGGGTGAGACAGACTGTGTGGGCCCCTGTGGTGAGGACCAGTGGGGCACAGGGGCA